TCAAAACAGAACGCTACAGTCATTCAAAGGCATTCGGAAGGACGAGATAAGCAACTAATTATGAACCGTAACCTCTCTATGATTTGTAAGGCTCTTTTTACCTATTGAATAATGAATACGAAATGAGTGAAGCATTTAGGAGCTTAATATTACCGTCGAATGACTCGGTAAGATTTAAAATGCAACTATCAGCATATCTTCATTATTTCTTAGAAATCCAGGTTTATTGGCGCTGTATAGGTAGTGATTTTGATTTGTCGACATGACCAACATATGGATGAATACACAGATGTGTACTACAGCTTGTTCACCGTGCGGATTTAGTTGGTTCTATGTCGTGTGGGGCAACATTACTCTACAATTTTGATATATTCCGCAAAGTATCGCTGTGATCATTGAAAGTATTCGCATGCTTTGAATGCACATCACCATCTACCAGTGACATTAGACATGTGTAGGGGATGGGGAAATGTATTACTGATGCACTTTCCAGAATGCACGTGAATACGGTGCAGCAAGCCACTAATGACTTCAAAGCCCTGGCCGAAAGTCAAAAGAAAGACAAAGGGTTGAAGTTTATCCCCACTGCAAGCAACCTTGGTCCCAAACTCAAACAGTTGCCATCTTCTGGCGATTCGATACACTGCGCAAAAAGAAAGATCCATCAATGTCCTTCGTTCGTAAAATCATAAGGAAAGCCATAATTAGTGAGCTTCACCCGTTATCGCACTCTGGAGCAAAAGCCTCAGCCAAAATAATCTTGGCAAGATGTATTGGTCAAACCTACATAGTGGCATGCAGCAGTGGACGAGAGAGTGCATGGCATGTCAGGTAGCAAAAGTAAGCAGAAACACAGTGCCACTCTTAGAAACACCCTCGTGGCCGGATACTCCTTTCGCTCAAAAGCCTTTCTTCAACAAAAGGTAGCCATGGTCGGGCTGCCTACAGCAACAACAACTGAAAGAGGAATTCAATCGAAGTCACAACTTCTCATCAGCTTGTCGAAGTTCCTGTTGTCTCAAATAATCCGCTGCAAAGCATGCAACAATCAGACTAACGTGTTGATAGAACGCTTTTATCGACAACTGAAGGCCGCACTGACATCTCATTCTAACCCCAATTACTGGGCAGCATTCCTACCAGTTTTAATGCTTGATATATGAACAGCAATCAAAATCGTTGTTTAGAGTTCTATAGAGGAAATGATATGAAGAAGCGGTCCGAAACTCCTTGGCTAAGACCGGTAAGCTAGTTAAATGTGGTGAATATTTGACTTGTGGGAGGCATGCCCAGGATGTATGGAATGATCAATAGATAATGTAAAAATGAAATTTAGAAGCCGCTCGTCTCTCACTCATTGTTTTGTAGCAAACTTACACATTTACTTGTCCGCATCATCTGCAACACGATGTACTGCAAGAAAACTCACCAAAACCATCAATGCACAGATAGGCATTTGAATAAACAGTGTGAAATATTCCCATATTTATTTTGGCACTCATAACTAATCTGTTATTCTACGTTAAAAATGTATCTTCCGCATAACTGGCCATTATTGTAACGACAATAAATATTATATTTTATAATTGTTAGAACCTGAAGATAAGTTATTGAAAAGAATATTCTTCGTTCAGATTGACTTTTAATCTGAATGAATATCAACATCCCAGCAGTCATCAGTAGTAGGTGATTTTCATTAAACACACAGTTAGGAACAGAACAATGACTAACCAAGCCATAAAAAATGACAAACGAAGCACACAGAAGATGAAAGCTAACACCATCTTAGTCAGTGAGATTTGGGACTAAACGTTCTGAATATCTTCAGTATTTCGCACATTGGAAGTCGCCGAATGATTAAGTTCCTTAGTGTTACAATGTGACACTAAAATGAGAAAAAAGGAAACGAACGACAGGAAGACACCAAAAAGGGGTCTTCTAGGGATGATATCTTCACATACATATCCATACCTATGACAACCAGGTAGTTATGGTTTCTGAGACTATAGCTGATTCCAGGGATACATTTAACTATCGGAGTAGAGGAGCACGAAGTGATACTAGTGCTAACGGATAAGGTTTAGCTTAAACCGTCTTTTCCGGAATACTTCTACCTGCAGTCTCTTGCACTCCTTAGCGTAATCGAAACTATAGTCTGGGTCAGGTGCTCTCAAGTTGACATATCTTTGTATTCCCTCAAGTTTCAATTTGTCACTCAGTTGAAGTCCACCAGGAGTAAACGTGAAGTATTCTAAATTACGGCAATAACGCTTTCTACGATAGAAATCTTGCATCACTACAAAAGAACTTGCGAGTCATACAGCCTATAAACTTACGTGTTTTGGATCTAGTATAATCACTTTTTTCAGGGGTTAAATTACTACAGTGTCTTATGCTGAAGTCTACGACTGAGTTAAGTTTGGCTAGTTTTTGCTTATCTACTTCAAAAGTTAAGCCTAGCTTGCTGTCGCTAATGCAAACACAGCCGCACCTGTCAATGTCGAAATTCTTGCGGGACTGAGAACAACATGATGCAGTATGGCTTCATTCAGGACGAATATTATTTGCCGGGTAATTTGATTCGTGACTATAGCATGGGCAAACGACTCCAAGTTCATCAGCGTATTTAAATACTTTGCCTGAGATGAGGCAGATACAAACTCTGATAATGCAAATTATTGATACAAATTGCGCAGGGACGCTACCCTTTAAACCCCCACCAGTGACCTGTCCAGATTACACAGATTAAATCTAGTTACTTGCATGCGACCGCCGAGAAATGAATTGAATCGGTTAAGTAATGGACTACGAATTCCATCGGAGTAGAGTTTCTCAAAGAGTACACTGTGGGACACCATGTCAACTGCCTCTGATATATCAGTGTCCAGAATACTGACCAGTTTACGTACTTCGCTACTACCAGTGATAAGCAATCTGTTTTGGCTAACACTTAAATCCTGGTATTATTTGTGAAGTTATAATTTGCTTCACAAGACAACAAATTCATAAATTTACTTGAATAAAAACTGTTCCCATGTTTATGAAGAAAGGAATTGGACGTTTCCGCGTATTTATCTCAAAACAAGGTTTCATGAAAGGCCTACTGTGCTGCAACCTGCAGCTTGATTACTTTGATGACGCAGCTGGTATGCCTAATTATGATTTCTTTGTCATACGGCGGATCAGTTCTTAAGTTGAATTAGCACTGAACCTGAGACTATTTTGTTCTGATTCTACGCATTCTTCTGGCCCCGCTTTTAAGTAGTAAGACGATCTCAGAGGCACACAAAGTGGTAATATGTAGGGTCGTGCATCAAGATCACTTATTTTCCCAACACAAATAAATGACATACTTACGGTGATGAAGTGACACACCCTAACTCCACGCTGATGAAATGAATTATTTGTAGTAATTTCCCTGAATAACACTAAAAGTAGGATTCTAAATGATGCAGATCATAAGTGTAGCTGGAACAGTGTCCAGCAACTGCTGCTAAACGAAAGTAAGTGTACAAAAATGTACATTAAAACAGTCAGGCTGACTTCAGGCATCATCAAGTTAAGCTAATAATTCTGATGCTTCGCTCAACGGAAGACATCACCGTAAAAAGTTTAAGAAAGTACCACCTACACGACATAAAAATTCCGTTATCAGTAAGCAAAAGTGAATTAAAATTATAGCCACAAATACATCAGAACACATGCCATTTTGTTATTTGTCTTTCCTTCACCTCACTTGCGACTTGGAATCCAAATGGTTGTTGATTACTAAAGTATAGATTATCTAATCGATGTAACAGGTGTCTCCCAAGGCCATATATGTGGACTGTAGATACGCAAATTTTGTGCATAAGTTTTGCTTGGTTTATGCAAGGCAATAAACGCACTCCACCTCAACAGTCCTTTCCTATCTTCTCTATTCTTGCGTCGCGTGTTCAGTGTTGCCGTATCGTCCTTGTGGTTGATATTTAGAACAGTGACCAGCACAGTCGGTTTAACAATCGCCATGTGTAGGTATTGTCGTGACTTACAGTCCATCCGCATCGAGGAAAATTCCTCTTGTAGCACAATCATCGTTTATTTTATTCCCGTACACTGCGGCATGTATTCGGCATATCAGGTGGAAATTAAAGCATTTATGTTGACAATCTTTACCTCACTTTTCATGTCAATTGCTGTTCACTAATAAAAGCCTTAGTTACGAGGATATACGTGTAAAATGTCAACCTGAGTCATTTTAGCTGGGGTGCCCAAAGATGAACCTGACTTCTCTTTACTGTCTATATGTCCCAGTACAACTGTAAAATCTCTTTCAACAACTCGGCCATCTGTACTTGCATGTTGATACATAAGATTTTAAAGGCACATTTCCGGTGTATAAAGCCCTCTGCAGTCTTCTTCAGCTGGCTGCACGTTTTCTCACAATCTTCCACTTCCTCTTCGCATCCAATCCTCCATGTCCCACCCGGATGCCTGATGCGCGATATCACTCAACGGTCTCTTCAGCGCTTGTCAAATCCACCTCCATTCTGCCACATGTAGCCGAGATGATTCCTTACAGGTCAGGCCAATGGAAAAGACGATATTTTAAGATTTCTTTCGTTAATGGTGATTGGTGTGCGTTGTTTTCAGTTTCCTGAGTTATCCCGAGCCACTTTATTTTGACAGGCTGACGAGGTGGCCTTTCTCATGTCGGTAGAAGTTGCTTTCCTTACCCTTAGAACCTTATTTAACAGGGGAATGAAAATGTCTGAAAAGGTCTCTGCTTCCGTTTTCAGTACTGCTGGAGAGATTCCACTTGGTCACACAGCCTTTATTGGAAATAACGCATAGAGAAAACCAAACAGCTTCATTTCACTGCGAGTAGCAAGGAATAAACTACATTCTTTAAGTAGTTGGTCGTTATACACAACCCTTATCCTTTTGAAGTAGATTCTCAACAGAGTTGTCAGTCTCATCGATCAATATAGGCTATTTAACTAATATGGGATAATAATATAGTCTATATCACCTAGATTAAGCAGATGCCTATTCCTGTTTCAGCAACAGAAAGAGATATGTGTTTCTAATCTTGTGATTGACACATTGAAGTTTGTGACCACACAGTTTCAAGGTTTGCGCACTGGACAGATCAGACTAGATACCAGATTGAATATGGACGAGAAATATGATGTTATCGTTTTGGGGACAGGCCTAAAAGTACTGGTGGAAAATTAATTCTTTAAACTGTATCTAGGAATGCATACTCAGTAGTTTAATGTCAATGGAAGGGAAGAAAGTACTTCATATTGACAGAAACAGTTTCTATGGTGGTGACATTACGTCCGTAACTCCTATTGATTTGCTGTTTGCACGATTTAAAGTCAAGGCAGACACTAGTAAATATCAGCGTGGTAAGGACTGGAACGTTGATCTGATTTCGAAGTTTTTGATGGCAAATGGTATGTACATTTCAAGTTGATGATGGATGTAGGAAAACTGGTCAAAATTCTTATCCACACCGGTGTAACACGGTATTTGGAATTCAGAAGTGTAGAAGGTAGTTATGTTTACCAGGGAGGAAATATCCACAAAGTACCATGTAACGAAAGCGAAGCTCTTACTACAAGTAAGCTAAAGTTAATTGCTATTACACAAGTAAAGAGCTTATGGATCTGTTTAAGAAGCGTCGGTTTAGGAAATTTTTAGTCTGGGTGATGAACGTAGATTTGGATAAACCTACAACATGGAATGATATCTACGCATCACCATTGGATATAAGAAAAGACAATATTTCTAACGCGTTTAGTTATTTTCAAATCGATGAAGAAATACAGGCAAGTTGATATTTTGAAAAATATAAAGTAACAGTTATACTACTTCTACCGAGATAAATCAAATGCATTATCCCGAAATGAATCTGTTGCATCTTATCAACTCCTGTGTAGACTTTGTAAACAATTGTGTCACCATGTAACTTCTACCCATCGCTGTTAAATACTTTAAGTATCTACCTTACGAAAAGCGGTGGAAATTGGTTATTGCCGTGGTTTGTTGTTGTAAATTAGGAATTGCATGACTTCAACTGTAATTGTGAAATTGAGAACCACACCATATATTCCTTAAAGGATATTTCCTTCAAAATTCCTCATTCACTGTCAGTAATCATGTTAGTAACTGACTGGTTGATTGGTAAATTAGAATACGAATATGTTTCAATTTAAGACGCTGCAGTTCTCCAAGAGTCGTCGGCCACTTTCACAGCATCTTGGGGAACCAAACCACTTAGCCCATATATCCCTGTTTGGTTCAGAAATCAGCAATTTAACTCTTGGATTGATGCCAATATGTTTATTTGTAACTCCTCGATAACCAAATAATATTTCCGGACAGCATTATTGGATGGGGAAAGCAGTGGTTAGATATGCTTTACGTATGTCCCAGTTGCGTTAGTCTATAAATGTGGTTCGTTGGCTTAAACATTTGACTATCAGCTTGTTAACATCAGGTTGGAATCCCACTCTTTCTATTTAACCCTTGAAAGTATGATAATCCCCCACCTAATATTGGTAGCTCATAACCTGATGCATGAAAAATCTGCTCTGGGTAGACAACCTCTTACTACTAATTCAGTTGACAAATTCCCAAAGCTATCCCGACAGCGGATTGAATACGGTGTATGGTTGACTCAGGATAACCATTACTAACATGGTCAGATGAATGTTTGGCTAACTTTTCCCTAAATCCAAGAGGTGAGTGCGTAAAGGTTTCTCAACTCTTTTTCACATCCATTCAGTCTTTAACAAAATAACGTATGGTAAAAGTGCACAGATATTCTAGGTGGAGTAATTACCTTATGTTAATCCTCTCCATTAGTTACTTCGCTAACTGAGAAGCCTGTGAAACACTGTACGAAAGTGATTCAGTTCACGTTCCCACACTGAAGATAGAAAAGTATTGGCAGTAAAATAGGCAAACATGGATGTAGATATATGAAATGGATCTGTGACTAATTAGATTTGGCATTCGACCTCCATCCACGGTTCCGAAATATCTCCACCTACACGGATTTCCGACTAAATATTATCGTCAGTCCTCATTAACAATAACGTATAAATAGATGTTGATGGACGTATAGGAAAATGGTCCTTCTTTGTTCATCGTTGGCTTGCTTTCAGGAGTAGCTGTATCTTTGGAGGAATGTTGAAATAAACGCTCAGCTGATTTATCAGCACAGAACGTTCCACAGAAGTACATTATTCGAAGTTGGTACACTTGCAACCTGGAAGATAGAAAGCAGTGAATACATCTGCACTACTGCGAACAATTTTGAGCTATGTCACCAAAAGTCTTTAAACCTTCATTCTCGGCATTTTGACGCTTTCAAGCAGACAACCACCTGTCAAATTCCCCTTATTTGGAACTCCAGGTAATTGGGATTGACTATCTTGTTGTCTGAGGAAATATCCGTATATCAGCTTGTTAAACTAATGGTATATGATGGCTGTGTGTTGGCCGTGATTAAGGCTTTCAGGCACCAGCCTTCAAACCTCAGGTTTTGATGGATGCACACCTTCAGCTCATTAAAATGAGTATCCTTAATCTTTACATAGTGTAACTCACCTTACAAATTTGATTGGTGTTAAAGTTTTGTTTTCGTAGTGTCAGTCTAAGCTCTGCAAATCGTTAGCTTGAAGTATATGTTCTACTGCGACAGTGGTTTTTACCACTTAGTGATCTGTATTGCGAAACACAAGTGTTTGTCTAATATTTTAGCACATCAATGTTTTTAAATTTCCTAGGGTATCTAGTTCATATCATAAATTATTGTGAATGGTCAAATTGGTCATTTTTACCAGATCATACGTTATAATCTTTTCGACACTTATGCAGGACTTTAATCTGTTAATATTTGTCCGTCTTGTTTGTGATCATTCGTATTCTAAAGTATAATAAATCTGTTCCCTATGTAGAATTTCATTGGCCATGCAATATGTTTGTTCCAAGATGATTCATACAAAGAGAATGTACCTGCAGCTGAAGTGATAAGTCGTATGCAGCTTTATAGTCAATCGGTTTGTCGATTTGGCAAATCTCCATATTTATACCCGCTTTATGGACTTGGTGAACTACCTCAAGCATTCGCTCGCCTTTCTGCTGTTTACGGGGGAACATATATGTTGGACAAACCGATTGATGAACTGGTGATAGAAAAAGGTAAAGTGATTGGAGTGAAATCGGGTAATGAAGTAGCACATTGTGATATGGTTATCTGCGACCCTAGCTATGTGCCGAATATGGTGAAAAAAGTTGGGCAGGTAAGCTAGTTATTATGATTGCACCTGTTATGCAGCTAATTTAGAACAGGGGTCCTATCTCAGTGTGTTTACTAGACAATCTGACACGTTCGTAACGAGCAATAGCTCTAGAATAATATAGATTCAGGTTTCCATATTATAACCCCATTTCACTAGGAAAGTAGTCTAAATTGTTCAGCTACTCTACATTCAAGGCTTGCTTCAATCACTCAAACAAAGTGCACTTTAGTGTCCAGTCACTTTGCGTGTTAACAAGCTTAGTTATTCAAACATAGTCCTCATAGTATTATAATCCACAGCATGCTCTGACTGTCTTCAGCTACCAGTAACAAAATCTAAAATATTTTATGTCTGCAAAGACAAGGTTTCCTAACAATTCAGTCGTTTACTATCCTAATCTTAAGAACTGGACGACTAGATGAAGCCGAAGACAGTTTCATGATCAAATCCATATATGTGTAGAACTTGGGTACTGTGTTAGTTGTGGAACTGTTTTTATGATTGTAAACGGGAGATTGTGTTTGAAACATCATCCGTTAAATAATACTGTTTCACTGTGCAGTTCATCCAATATACATGCTGTTGTAAAAGTTTGAATCAAATTCGTCTATGTTGGCTTATGAAAGCATACTTTGTGTTCATAGCCAAGTGAGCGAATCTGTGCATTGTGAGTTGTTTTATTCCTTTGCGTTTCCAGTGAAACAGGACTTCAAGCTGTAGCAGTGGTCTTTATTTTTACGAGATGGGGTCGCTAGCTAGCCTCATGCCTAACCTCCCCTCTTTACCAGTCTTATTACTGGCTTAGCAAGGTAAAGGAGGGCGTCGTCAGCCGGGAATCGAATCCCGAACCACCTGCGTGGTTGGCGAGCATTCTACCTCTGAGCGATCAACTCACTAATAATAATAATAATTTGCTTTATTCCAAAACAGTACTTGTGATACAGAATGGAATTCTCAGCATTTTTACTACAGTATTGCATCCAGTTAGTACATTATCAATAAATAGAATTCTACGTAGATTGAGGAAACCACAGTTCATTGTTACAACAATACATTGGCATGTCAGTAGCAAAGGTAAAGCTGAAATAGTGTTTGAAGGTGTTAGAAAAGTGGGAGCTGTCTTATTAACTGGCGTAAGCGAGAGAAGGAGACAAAGCAGCACATAACACAAAAAAAAAAAATTATTGATGATTTCATTTAATATGTTTAAAACTACATTGTGTCTGTGCTTTTTACTACTGCATAGCAAGGATTTTATTATGCTGCTATGTAGAGATTAGACAGTTCCATGTGGATAATGGTTATTGACGTGAATTGAGAACAATATCTCACTCAAACAGCAAACTTATTCCAAAAAATACACAATAGTCTAAAGGATAAATCATTGGCTGACTACACTTACGCTTGTTTTTTTTTATTTACCTTTAAGGTTGTACGGGCTATCTGCATACTTACACACCCAATAGATGGTGTACACAGTTCTTTATCAACTCAAATTATTATTCCTCAGAGTGAAGTTGGTCGCAAACATGGTAAGATTATTCCGATCTCACTAACATACACTCACACTACTTTTAGATATATACATTTCATGTGTTTCTCATTCACATAATACCTGTCCTGAAAACTTCTTTCTGGCTCATGTTGCAACTATTTCTGAGACAGCTAATCCAGAAAAAGAATTGGAACCTGGTTTAAAACTTCTTGGATCAATTGAACAAGTATTCTATTCTACGCAAGATCTATTTGTGCCAATAAATGATGGGCGTGAATCTAAGGTTCGTTTTTAGAAAATTAAACCATGTTGTGTTGTTTAAACTCAGTCCCTCGGGACGGTTCTTGTTGCAGGCTATGAACCACACTTGTTGTATAGAAGCTGTTGAGACCACCGAATTGCCAAGGTTGAAGTAGATAGAGCATGGCTCGAAGCCTGGGCCCACCGATCAAAAGTCGAGTGCTTAAGCCAGTAAGCCACGTCTCCACTACTTTAATCATGCACACTTACGCCTATCATTATTAAATATTTGCCAACAGTTCCTGTCGAAAATCTGTTGACTATATTTCGCTTCTTACGAACAATACTATTTCATATCTAGGTCTTTCTTGAAGCTGATTGTTATTTGTACTCCATCAAATAACAATTGTGTACCGTTTGACTGTAATATATTCTAAAGGTGCAATACTACATGCGTTTACTAGCCACACTAGTATTGTAAAATCATTAATTACAACAGGACATGTGGTCATGTTGAAATCAAACGTGTAATCTAAATGCTACTTTGAAAGCTGTACTATGGTAGCAGTATGTGATTCATACCTAGAACTTTGTACGAAACTAGAGCACCCAAGAAACATATTGTTACAAAGTAATCAAAATTATATGCCTTTGTATTTTTCACTCAGTGTCGAGCGTTTTTAAAACTTTTAGATAAAATCTTGATCAAAGTTCATATAAATTATCAAGCATTAACTTAATATACATGTCCATGAGGTTGCCACTTTGTTCAAACCTGACCGATAGCTGCTTACTTTGACGTGGTAGTTGAGCTTCCATATCACAATGACCTGAAGAGCTACACTGGCTGGAACTATTGTTCTTAGAAGGTTCCTACCGTGCCAGAAAGGTTGTTTGTATAGCGATTAAACTAAAAGTAGTTACCAGCATAGTTTAAGGTGTTTACACTATGTTGGTGGTCTGTAGACAAAGGCGTACAGGGGTGTAGTAACAGTAAGGTGTTTCCCTCAAATGACCAGTATGCCAGCTATTCTGCCTCTCCACTCTGAAAAGAGGGGGTTAGTAAACATCGACCCCGGAAAGTGTACATCCTGACCTACCCTACGGCCGTCCGTAGCCGGCAGTAAGTCCTTAATACTGACACAACTCTGATAACCAATTCAAACAGGTCTTGTGTGACCAGCCTCAGGTAGTTGTCCCTTGGGTTCTCTTTCTGTTTCAGGTACCCCAAGTCAATCAGTCACCTTGTTCCAAATATTGAGAACTGATTAGGTAGTAAAATGAAACCTTTTGGATACGTTTACTTGTTATTTTTGTGAATATTTTTCATCCTGATGTTTCCGTTCTACGCACGCATAGACGCCTTGCTGTTCTGTTTATTTTCCTGAACCTCGTTATATTATTTTTCTGTTTCATTAATTATTTTCAAGTGTATGTATGCATTTGTCTTGATTCTCTGAAGTGGTTTACTGTTATTGAGTCGAAATCGGCACAAAAGAATCTGATTACAAAAAATTGTAATTATCTGTAGAGGCTAATTTTATTGTCCTTGACTTGTGCACAGGCATCAAGTGTCAGTCACCAGCGTTGCCACAACCTCCTAGCCAATTTAATAATGAATTCGGACAACACTCACAAATGAATAGAATGTTTATTTAAACAGAAAGCTAGAAGTCACATATTAAAAACCGAGCATACAAAATATATAATACATTATACTGGTAGTGTTTAAAAAAGGTAGTGTTGATCGACTGTCTGTAAGCCTAAATGTCAGTTGAAGTTAACATAATGTAAGTTTCGAGAATAAGTGGCCAGCCTAATTTTCAATAATTAATTGTGATATTTTATCAATACGCGACTTATTCAAGTTAGACCACCATTTGAGTTTCGATTCACTACAAGTTAAACCATGAACTGACATTATTTAAAGAACCATTGAAAACCAGGGAGTATTGGAGAGTCGTTTCGTCCTAGCTTGGGACTCTCCAGCAGTACGCACCAATGACGCAACCGGGAAATGAATCAAGAACCTTTAGGTTATGTGTAAGGCGTGTCTGTTAACTGTTCAGCCACTCGGATGTGGAATCCAGTGGTCAATGATTTCTAACATCTGCCAATACATGATATATACCAACACCGCTAGTCAGTGTCATCGGCGCGTATTCCTTCCCACACCCCACTGGTTGCGACTTCTCACAAGGTGTCAGCTAGTGATCTAATTCGAAAAACTAATTAAACTCTTGGGAATCAACTGTTGAAAATTATTATTATTTCAAGATACATTGTTTAGTGTGCTTTTTTGACTAGTTTCTCATACAATTTGTGTAATTGGTGAAAAAAATGATTATTGATCATGTTTTCATTTTCTTGCTTGTTTTATACCCTTTAATAGCAGGATTCATGTCATGCTTTTTTGTTTTTGTTGTGGCATAGACAGATGAGTGTATTTGTCTGTTTGTTGTTATTGTTGTTGACAAATTGTATCTTCATTGCGTTGAAAATTGCTTGCGTTTTGTTTCGATAATTGTGTACCATTTGTTACTTTGAGATTGTTCACTTAAGAAAAACAATACCCTTTAAAAATTTCACTGGTTTTTAAGTTCTGTATTTTGTGTTGTTTTTTTTTGGAGATGGTTTTCATCAATAAATCTGCACGTGGTCTAACATATGTTGATACCTACCAATGTGTGTATTAGGCGTCTGTTATTAGCAGCTAACATTATGCTTCAAACTCCAGAGGATCTCCAAATGAGTATCTTAATATCCTGTCCCAGTGGGTTGAATAGTCAACGAGCTCGCCTCGTAACCTGGATATCCTAGATTCGATCCCCAGTGGGGGGTCATGAGTGCGTACTTCAGCCTGGCCGACAGGTTAGTATCACAATTAGTTGTGGCTCTCATAGCCTGGAAAATACGTAACCTTTTCCAGGAACTGATTTCAAACTAAATAACCTTTTGAAAACCAGCTCCTAGTTAGCGAAAACAAATTCCCGGTGTATTATATTCATCGTTTCTTTTGTTGTTTTTTTTTTCTATTGTTGATTTCAGATTTTCATATCAACAAGTTATGATGCTTCCACGCATTTTGAATCGACTTGTGCCGATGTCTTAGACTTGTACGAGCGTATCACTGGACATCCGTTTGATTTTAATAAAGTAACTCGATGTGAAGAAGTCGGTGAGTGAATGAGTGAGTAGATTTCCACGTAATTGTCTCTGGAATGTGAGAATGGCATAATTAATAATCTGAAGGATAAGCAAGAAGCCGGAGTTATTCTACCAAGAATTACATCATGGTGTCGCTTTGCTTATTCATTATTTACTCCTCACTGTCTTTTACAATTTAAGAAAAAATGCTTTTAATTAAAAGGGTACTTGTTTTAGTTTGTTTTTTTTTTAAATTTATTTATTTGTTTGCTGTGGGTATTCAACAATCACTTTCTTAATTATTTTACTTTCTAATATTTTCTTTTTGCTTTATCGTTTATATCATTCCTTATGTGTGTGTAATAACTTGTGGGCTGAAAGTATATTGTGATATTTTATAATTTTATATTACTGCTTCCTCTTCTTATTCTCCTTCTTCTCTTTCTTTTTCGTGATGGCCTCAGTGTTTTGTCCTCTCTCCTCTGTGATAAGCACAATCCATACCTCAATATTTTCTAAGATCTGACTAACTGATGACTGACTGACTATTATCTGCATATTTATGTGAGTGTGTGTGTATGCGTGTGTGCAATACATTTATGCCTTGAAGTTTCTTTTATTGCTTTATTTGCCGATGATGCAATCATATCTCCCAATGGCATTATCTCCGGTGATGATGATCATGATGGTGATATTATAGCAGGTGAGGGTCTCCCAGTCGCCTAAGTATCTTTATCTCTGCATTCATTTGTTAGTGTTTCCTTTCTTTTTGACTGTTTATCAACAGCATCAACAACAACAACAATGGAACACAATCACCGATTTATATATTGTAGTTTTCTCTCTCTCTTTCTTTTGCCTTTGAATGTTTTATGTTGAGCTATTTACTTATGTCATCTTATTTATTTTAATAAATTTGTCGTTTAGTGATTACAGTGTTTGAATAATACTAATATTACTACTACTATTTCAATTGTTTTGCAGTTTAATCACTCGGGTATGAATAGGCAATGAACGTATTTCACATTCCGATTGCCTGTAAGCTTATATAACCCCCATTCGCTAGTCTGTGCATAGGCTTTCTGGGATTTGATCTGTGAAATGCATCCAAAAGATGAACAATGTTCAATAGTAATGACTTTGTTTGATAGATTATAAACATCAGTTGTTAGATCTCAATCACGAGCCAGCATCATTTGGAGAGATCATTGAAAGCCAGTGAGCACTGTACAACCAGCTGTTTCGTCCTACTTTTGATTGGACACTAGTGAGGCAAAGGAGTGCATCGTCGACTGGAGATTGAAACCCGGACCACCAGCGTGGTTGGCGAGGATTTTACCTCTGCACCACCGACGCCTACCTACCTGTAAGTAGAATAATTAGTGATTACAGTCGTATTATTTTGTATAACCAAAACTGGATATCAACAGACACCGAATGGTGAGTAAATAACAAATCTAAAACATTCATTTTTAGTATCTACACTCAACAAAACTAATCTGTTTATGCACTATCCGACCACACTGAGTTATCTCTTATTCAAAGATAAATACAGAAGGATTAATAAGATGGAAGGTGTGGCTCACTGGCTTAACCAGACAGTCGTTCGTAGGTCTGAGTCCTCACACAATCTGTCTGGTTCATAGCTCCGTACTTACAAAAAAAACAACAGCAGTAGAGTAAGGTGAAAGGAGGAATATCTTTACAAAGTTTTGTTTTAAGTTAGAAATTATCACAGGGGATGAATTACTTAATTCATTCGGTCGGTGTACTATGCGATATTTGTAGCTGAGCACTTGATAAGTGTGCCTTTGTTTCCATAATCACTTCCGCTTGAATGGTCCTGAGAAGCCTATTACCTGTTTACTCTACTGTTGTGTAGATTATCTTTTTGAAGATATTAGGGACTAATTTGTAGGTACTTAACAATTCATTCATTTCAATGATTAAAAAATTACGTAGCGTTCGAATTAATCACTGATTGACAATGTTAAGTGTGCGAAATGCAATTTATTTTCCTCTCATCCGTTGATTGGAATGATTGACAGAATTGGAGTTCTTAAGCTGTATACGGTGAATTTGCTTCGAAAGAGCTGAATCCACTTATTCAGCCTTTGTTATTTAGTGCACTGTGTGAGACTATAAGTAACAAGTGTACAGATGGAAGCAGATTTACTTATCTATCATAAGAAATGTCGCGTTCAATCCTCTCTTTTTTACCGTGTTCAAGTAATCACCTCAATCAATAGTTTTATACAAATATCAACGCATATTGTTGTCGAAAACTGTGTAGAAGTTAGTTAGTTAGTTTCAAAAACCTACAGTCTTTTCCATCCCTAAGCAGTTTGCTTATAAGTGTGGAAGAAGTACATTAGATGCAGCCATTGTACTACACCACAATATTGTTTCCTGCCTTGATAAGGGTGCTAAGTTCGTTCGAACAGCTTTTTTAGACTATACTGCAGCTTTTGACTCTGTTCCTAGGACACTTTTATTAGGAAAGATGATTTCAGCACAAACAGAGTCCTGGGCAACTAGATGGCTGTCTTCTTATTTTAAGGATAGGAAACAGCATACTGTTTTGGCTGGAAAGCGCTCCACTTCTCAGCTAACTGAAAGTGGTGTGCCTCAAGGAGCAGTACTTTCTCCATTTCTTTTCTCTTTCTTTTTGCATGACCTTCCGAACTCACCCAACGTTAACTTCATTAAGTATGCTGATGATCTGACCGTTTCTGTCCCTGTAGTTTCCACATTGGATTGTTCCCATATGAATGGCTTCTTAGCTGAAGTTAAGGATTGGTCTAGCTCAAATGGTCTTAAACTAAATCCAACTAAATGTAATACTGTTGATTTCAGCTTGAGAAATGAAAAAGACATGCATGGATTGATCCAATCTCATGATTGTTGTAATATTGATGGTACCATGATAGAGAGTAAGTCAAGTGTTTCTTATCTTGGCATTAGTTTCTCTTCAAACCTTTGCTGGTCGTCTCATATTCTTATAGTTTCTACGAAAGTTTTCCGTCTGACTTATTACATAAAGAAGTTGAGGCACTCAGGTATAACCCAATCTCTTCTCATACAATTTATTAATTCATGTGTTTTGCCCATTATTCTTTATTGTTCCCCATTATTCTTCCCTGGGCTACTCAAAAAAGACCATATAATACTACGAAGAACATTGAGGGCTGTAAGTAGGGTCAGTGCTATCCCTTTGACTCAACTAACCGACACTGTTGTCAATAGGCATTTGAATTCTTGTAAACACTTAGCTAAAGTTATTTTGTCTGATAGTGAACATCCTCTTTATTCACATTTGTTTCCTTGTATCTCTCCGGGTAAGACCAGAAGAAATTTCATAAACATTTATACTCGTACTACAAAATATAAAAATTCGACCGTACCATATTTGGCACGAGTATTGTGTGAAGAGACGAATATCAGAAAAGAACTTTTACAACTTCTAAATCATTAACTAAACTAAAAAATGTAATGATGCATATTATTGCATGTGTGATTTGTTATATTACTTATTTATTATTCACCATGACCTAGCAATGGTGTATTTTGTTGGGGTTTTTATTTTTCCTATTAACTATTAATATTTTTAAAATTTTATACATTTATATAATTATAAAAAGAGCTAAACCAATGCAATATGTAAAATGAAACGCTGAAAATTCCATGCTGTAAATTGTTATTGTTGTGGAATAAAGTGATTATTATTATTAAAAAAAAAAGATTATTAGTATTCTCTTCGCTTCCGAGTGGAACATACGACTTCAACAACACATTCCCATCTTGTTTTATTCTCTTCTGTCCTCTTCAGCTGGGTGACCCCATGATTGCCCGTAATCTCTCATCTCCTCCTCCATGTCCCCCTCTCACTGACGACCCACTCATCGCTTCTCATTGGGATTCCACTCGAGCAATGGCTTGCATCTCCATTTTATCCTATATATTTGTTGAGCAGTCACTTCTTGATTGGTTTTTCCCACTACGGAGTTTCTTGCTGCTAATTCTTTCTGGCCATTTGACCTTCCGTATGGAGGCAGCCAGCCAGGAGGGCAGCTGTTGATAAAAGTCTGCAGCTTGCTGGAAATCCTTTTCTTGACACGCAGTGCAAATTCCTGACCCGTATAAAAATAGTGACTGACTTGACATTTGTGTTGAAAATCCGAATCTTGTTCTTTATGCTGTCTGAGTGCAGAAGATTTTCAAACTGGTATCTATATTTATATCTATATCAAATTACTGTAGAATGGGGGAAACAAATAGTAGAACTTTAAGACAGAGACTAAACTTGGTCATCCGTAAAACATACTATTCAGCCAAGCTTAGAATTACTGAAAAAGCCCAAAAACATGCTCTACTCTACATTGCACAAGTGATTATGTCACGTTCCGCACTATATACCAATCTACATGTGTGTGTGTGTGTGTGGTTATACATATACAGGGAGAAACAATGAAGCTTTGCACATAAAGATAGGCGAGGACAATACCTAAATGGTTAAACAAAATAAGTAAATTGTGGAACATCGATAAACTCAGGTGGCAGACTATCAACTTCGTTTATAGCTAAACACTTAATTGCTATTTCAGTGTATCTCCTACAAGTAAAACGTAGTCGATTTAAACACAGTCGCTTAAATATCATTGGATCTTTTATTGAAGAGTTTAAAATATTTGTTTTGTCTTGATATGATTACTTAAGTCACATGTTATTGAAGAGAATGGAATATTCTTATAGGTAACTTCCTCTTCAGGCTCCATTAAGTTATGTAGCTGCAATATTAGGTAAATAAAAAGACTGTGTACACCAGTTGAATATATGAATTATTAAATCGAATAATAGTAATAATAAGTTAATAATTTATGTAATCGCCATATACAAACAAACGTATTATTTACCCAATACAGACTGATATTATAAAACGCTAAAGTCTGAAGACGAAGTTATAGAAAAGACTATTTATTCATTGTTCAATAGTCTGTGCCTTTATAGGCTAATTCACCTTAATAGATTTGAACAAAACAATAATGACGCATGGAGCAGGATAAAATGGGATTCTATAAAGATGTTCTGTTTCTGAAAAAAAACCCGCCAGCCAGTGACTAGTATGTCCATGAAACTAGACAAAAAAGTATTTGTTAGAACTCAGTTTCCCATGTATGCGACTACGAGTCCCACTTTTGTGTAAGGGCCGATGGTACCACCTGGTCTCCCAGGCTAAGTTAGGTGCACAGGGGGATTCGAACCTGGAACTCATTGGCTGTAAATCGGGTGGTCAAGTAAACGAAGTAGATCTCCAAAATACACGACAGAAATTTATGAATTACAGCATTGTTATTTAGCTGAAAGAAAATTACTCACTTATTCTTACAACACTTCCTTAAATAAAAGACAATTCAGCGAAGAAAATTTTCTTTATCGACGAAATCATCTCAACAAGCTATACAATCGTATTTATATTTACCAAAAATGTATAGTAGTCCATTACTGAGTAATAAGGGATGACATAATTGATATAATTACTCAGAAGTGACTTTAGAAGTAAGAATAAAAGTTGTAGATTACGTAGTACTCAACGTCGCAAAGGAAGAAAGGGTTAGACATTTGATAAGGTTAAAATTGTTTTTGACTGAGAATAAAGGTAGTTGAGTGTCAATTTAACAAGTGTGAAGAGGATTGGAAAATGTACAAAAGGAACATATGAGAGTGATAATAGTGAAATAATTATTAAAGTAAAGACAAATTAAAAGTAAAATTGAAAAAATGCACAAATGCCGAAACTTGAAGCCCTTTGTACCATTTAGTGACACCTTGTAGATAATCTTGAAAGATGACTCTAGTGGAACTACGCGGCCTGAGTGTGCTCAAGAATTGAGCTAGTAACCCTTTCTTCCCTTGTGCCGTTGAATACTACGTAATCTAAAACTATTATATCTACTCCTAAAGCCACTT